GCAATAGCAGTTGAAGCCAATGCAGTAGCAGATTAACCCATTGCAATAGCAGAGAAAACCATTGCAATCAGATGACGCCATGGCAATCGCTTGGGACAAGAAAGGGGTGGGGGGTGGTGGTGGGGGGGGCAGTGGACCAGTTCTCTATGGATCAAGCTAGGATTCCCATACGCAAGCTAACTTGGAACACTTCCAGCGCTTCCAATGGACGCGCGCCATTTATCCGGCAATTAGTCGTAGGTTGGGGGGTGAGATCGAAGAGAAATGGAGGCCCCCCCACAGGGAAATTGGTTTCGGTTTCGTGTTCGTGTCGTGCGTGTTGGCGAGGGGAAGCTATGTGGGCGGGCGAGCGGAATGAAACCACCGTGGCTAGGGCGGCAATGGGCCAAATGATGTTGTGCCCCCTGGTTGGCCAGGGGTGGCCCCGGGTGCCCCGATCCGATAGTATCCCAGTGGTGTCGCAATGGTGTCTCGACGGTGCCCAGATGGTGTCCCAACGGTGTCCCGACGGCGTCCCGACGGTGTCCCGATGGTGTCCCGACGGTGTCCCGATGGTGTCCCGATGGTGTTCCGACGGTGTCATGATGGTATCCCGATGCTGTCTGCATGGTGTCCCGTTGGTGTTCCGATGGTGTCCAGATGGTGTCCCGATGGTGCCCCGGCGGAGGAGTCCCGATGGTGTCCGCATGGTGTCCCGATGGTGTCCCGATGGTGTCCCGATGGTGTCCAGATGGTGTCCCGATGGTGTCCCGATGGTGTCCCGATGTTGTCCACATTGGGTTCCAATGGTGTTCCGATGGTTGTCCCAATGGTTGTCCCGTGGGATCGATAGACTGGCGACTCAACGGTAGGGACGCTTGAGCCAGCACGTTTGCAATGCGATTCGAACGATTTTGTGGGGCGCTCCATTCATGTCGATTCAATGGTAATGACCCGCGAACCAACACGGTCGGAATCGGGACGCACCTCTCTGGCGATTCAACGGTATGGACCCGCGAGCCAGCACGTTTGCAATGCGATTTGAACGATCCTGTGTGACGCTCCATTCGTGTCGATTCAACGGTAAGGACCCAGAACCAACACGTTGGGAGTCGGGACGCACCTCTCTGGCAATTCAACGGTATGGACCCGCGGTCCAGCACGTTCGGAATCGGGACGCACCTCTCTGGTGATTCGACGGTAGGGACCTGCGAGCCAGCACGTTCGAAATGCGATTGGAGCCATCCTGTGGGACGCACCATGCGTGTCGACTCAACGGTGAGGACCCAGAACCAACGCGTTCGGAATTAGGGCGCGCCTCTCTGGCGACTCAACGATAGGGACCCGCGGGCCAGCACGTTCGGAATGCGGTTGTAAGAATCTTGTGGGATGCGCCAATTCGTGCCGACTCAGCGGTAGGGACCTGCGAGCCAGCACGTTCGGAGTCGGGACGCACGTCTTTGGCGACTGAATGGCAGGGAACCGCGAGCCAGCACTTTCGGAATTGGGACTCACCGCTCGCGCTCGGGTTGCACCGGGAACACTCCTGGGGCGCGCCACCGTCCTGTCCCCGAGACGCATCACCCTCGAGCCGGCACGCGGGGGGGCTGCTCGGTGAGGACCCGACAGAGGATTCCAGTGTGCCTGGTCCCGTCCATCCTCGAGCTGGCACGCGCGGATTGAAGGATCAGATAGTCGCGCCAGTGCTCCAGGTCTGCTCCTTCAGGACCTGATCAGATTTCTGGTGTGGTTGGTGTCGCTGATTTTTTTGAGTTTGTGAGGGCCCTACCATTCGGGACAACTCTTCTGGAGTCTTCGATGTTCTGGGCGTGTACCATTCGGGACACATTTGGTAGGATTTCCAATTCTGTGGGGCGTTTTCGCTTTGTTGTCTTGTCGTTTCATTGTGTCGCAAAACTGCTCAAGGCTGCCCAAGTGGGCTTCAATGACCACGTGGAACGGCCCAAAATGGTGTCAAGATGCCTCTAATACGGCTCAAGAGAGCCGACGGTCCACCTTGCCGAGATATTCCAAAAGAGCTCCACAAGGGCCTAAGAACGCCGCCAGACGGCCCAAGAGGGCCCAGAACCCTCCAAGGGGCCCCCAAAATGCCCCTTAGAGGCCCCCGAGACACCCCGAGACTGTCCCAGGTAGCCGCAAAACGGGCTTGGAAAGTTTCGAATCAGTTCAGAAAGTTTCGATATGAAAACGCAGGCTAAGCTTCAAGGGAGGCCCTGAGAGGAGTGAAGAACATCTCAAGCAGCAGCGAACAGCAGCATACAACTGGAACCCCACCTACCTATCTTAGGTCCTGCGTGGGCATTTCACACCCCTGCTCCCGGCCGGGGCCACGATCTCTCGTAACAGAAACGATGGATCCGCGCTCCCTCGTCCACGATCCCAAAGCGCGATGTGTCCGCGCCCCGAGCTTCCAAGACGGCCCAGGCAGGCAATCAAAGCAACCAAGCTAGCCCAAGATGCCTCGAAGCCAGTCCAAGATGGCCCCAAGTCGGCCCGACTTGGCTCCAACACGGCTCAAGATGCGTCTAGGAGAGCCCAAACGGGCCATTAGAGGAGGGAGGCAGAGAGGAGGGAGGAGGAGGAGGAGGTTGAAGGATTTTCGCATTCTCACCTTTTCGGATTTCCGTCAGCTCAAGGCGGCCCAAGAAGCCGTCAAGATGGTTCCAAGATGGCCCAAAAAGCAGCCAAAAGAGTTCCAGGAGGTCCGGAGAGGACCCAGCGATGATCCAAGGGGCATCAGCACGGCTCCAAGATGGCCCAAGAGGGCTTCCCGTGCGGCACGAGACGGCCTCAGAAGGCCCTTCGACGGCTCAAACCGGTGCCACGACGGCTCCCAGACACCTACGATACGGCCAAGAGGGCCCACATCTGTATTCTTCAGCTTCAGACACGGCGGCCGCAGTGCGGCGATGGCGCATGTGGGCGCCATGGCTGAGGCAACTCACGCCTGACGTGCCAGCTTGGAAACCCTGGCGTCCTCAGGCTGCAAGAGCCGAGATGTCTACGGTTCCACGCCTGCGACGCTTTGGGAGCCCGTGGCCGATAGTGCCACCCACCCCCTGCGGACCCCAGTATGGCGTCAAGAGATGCCACGACTGCCACGCCCTGGGTGCCTCAGACGGTTAGCGCACCCACCCCCTGCGCACCCCTTCTGGCGTCCACGCCTGCCACGTTTTGCGACCCTGGGGCGGATCGCGCCCCCACCCCCTGCATGCCCCTCCTGGCGTACAGAAGGTGCCACGCCTGCCACGTCTTGCGACCCACCAGGTGTATACTAGCGTTGTCTTGTCCACGTGTCCTCCCTCTCCTACCTGCATGAGGTGCGTATGTGTGCTGTATGTGTCTTCGTGTGCGTGTGCGACTGTCGGTCCCCTCCCCCTTTGGGTCGCGGGGGTCGCTCGCCTCGCCGTCGTCGGTCGGTCGTGGGTCGGCCGTGTCGGGGTGTCTTCCGCCGTCGTCTCTCCGGGCTCCTCTCTTGCTTTTGCTCTTGCTGCTTTCCCCCCCCCTTTCCCTCCTCCTTCTCCTTCCGGGTCGTCCCCACCGCGGGGGTCTGTCCCGTTTTGTTTGAGCGTCGGCGTATCCCGTCGGCGGGTTCGCTTTGCTCGTCTTCTTTTTTACCCTGTCGCTGTTTGCGGTGATGCGTACAGTCTTTATTGGGCCTTGCTGGTTGCCCCATCTTGTTGGTTTTGCTTTCACCTGCCTCGCTTGTAGCCCTTCGCGGCTTTGGTTGCGCCTGGGGTTTGCTGTTTTAACGCTGGCGTTTGCACTGCAAGCTCGGACATGCTCGCGCCTGTCCTTTACCCATGTGCGAGGCCGTGTTTCGCGGCCGCTGCTGGCTGTCGCCCGCGGTCAGCTTTGTTTTTGTCGTTTAAGGCCAAGCCAGCCTCGGCCGCGTGTTATCTTTACCGCGTCGGCCATGCACCCTGTTGCACGGTCGCTCATTCTGGTACTTGCTCGCTGCAAGGGCGGTGGTGGTGCTCTGTCGCGTCGTTCCTTGCGTGTACGCGCCGCCACCGTATTGGCTGGTCTGGCAGCCAGCTCTTTTTCTTTCCTATCTCCTTGAGGCCTCAATTCGCACCAGACTGCTGCTTGCGCTTCAAACTACCCGCGTCGAGCTCATGTTCCTTGTTTTTTTTGGGCCGCTGCACTTTGGCACTACAGCGCCACCCGTTTTTCACCACCAATCTGCGCGGACGTGACTGAGTTCTTTCATCATGGCACGTTCGAGTAAATTCATTCGCAATTGGCACCTCCACCTGCCGATCGCGCCTGAGGTCCTTCTGCACCGCCGACTTGAAAGCGTTTGCGACAGCATGTTTATTTGTGTCAGATGCGCTCGCGAGTGTCGGTGATAAAGAGAGGGAGAGGGATGTGAATGGACGGGGCGCGGGTGGGACGCGGTTTGGAAGAAAACCATACGCCCACTAAGCATGTGGGGAGTAACAACAGCCGGGAATGGGCATCAGCATGGAGCAGCAAATAACATCAAGAAGTCGCAAGCAGCCAGCGGATATCGTAGAAACGCTTTCCGTTGTCTTCAAAAAAGGTGTTTCGAGGGATCGCAGCCTCGGAAGCGCGGGCCCACAGTTTTTTGTATGAAGTCTCGTGGCGTCGGGAGCACGGATCAGAAACAAAAGGATCATTGCCCCGTTCTGCAAGGGATCGTGGCTTGGGGAACGCAGACCGATTTACAATGGTTTTAAAATCTGACCTTGTTTTTGTGAGCGCTGGCCTATATTTTCTTTACCGTTCTCCCTATGCGTGACCCTTAGAACGCGGATCCATCGTATTTTTACGTACGCCCGTGCACCTCAGAAGCTATCATAATACGATTTGAAGAATTTGGAATCCCGATTTGGGCCTCCGGGTCAAGATATTCAGGGTTTCTGAAGTTTTTGATTTGAGATTTCTTTATCTTTGGAACAGGATGAAAGGGCTCATCAAGAGTGGTAGTGGCTGAGTTGCTCAGCTGTTGTTTTAAGCCTCATCTTCGCAGCCTAATGACCCCCACAAGGGGGCTACCAGCTATGTTATGTTTCAGGGCCGTCGTTGTAGAGATTCCGGGTCCAGGGTGGTAGCCCCAGCCTTCAGCAGGAGCAACTTGCCCTCGGGGCCGGCATCCGACAAAACATGCATATTTCATGCCTTTGGCTCACATGTATCCAGTTGTGCGCCAAGCTTGTATGATCATTGTCTGCAAAGTTCAATTCTTTCCCGCCCGCACGATGGCGAAACACTCGTCAGTGTCCCGCGCAGTTTTCTTACTTTGGTTGGTCTGCGCTGTCCCGATCAACGCTCACCGAGTTACTGTGAGGAATGACGCGTTGGTAAATATCCATCGCGGCCAGGCAGCGGGGACCTTCTCTGCAAACCGTTCCTTGGTTACCTTGGGCGCTAATGCTACGATGGAGTCTGAAACCGAATTCCTTTGCTTTGGGCTTTGCATTGCGTTGGGAGGGGGTTTGATTGGTTCAATTTTGGGCACCGCTATTGGAACGACCGCCGTTGTTGGCACGGTTGCGTTTGGGACGACAGCAGTTGTGTATGCTCTTCAGGAGAACGGCTGCACGAATACCACACTCAGCGAGGTCATCAAGAACGCGTCTCGAATTGCGATCGCGGAAGGCAGTGAAGCCGAAGCCATTCTCGATGCGGAATCAACCGAGCAGCGAGGGGCTGTGTCGGCCGTACCTTGGACTCCCAAGGATTTCCTGTCGCACATACGTGACACGTGCGGTGCTTTCATGGAACCAAAAGGGCTCGGGGAGTCAGAGTCCTCTTCGAAATCTGGTGCTGTTTTTTGGAACTGCCAGACACCGTCCACGAGCACGCCGTACGGCCGGGTCTTGGTCAAGGGTGCCATTCGCAACAGTGCTGATTCACCCGAGTGGAGTGTGTTTAAGAAACTGTCCCCCACGCTGGGCTCGCGTTATGGAAAACATACCATGCTAAACCGGATGTTGCTTGGATTCGACGCGTTTGGTACACACTGGCTCGTTTTGGAGGACGTGAAGGCAACGCCAGTACTCAGGCGCCTCCAACTTGAACTCGGCTTGGTTGTTCTCGACACGGATGAAGTACATTTCCGTGCTTACGATATCAAGCCTGCAGGCTCCCGAGCGCCTCAGTTGCCCGAGTGTTTCCATGATCTCGGTATGCTGGCCGACACCATGGGGAGCGTCAAGGATTTCGTCGGCTGGGATCGTCTTCAGTCCATCCTGGCCTCTGACCTGGAATACCTTGATAAGTTCAGCATCATTGACGAGTCCCTCTTCGTACAGGTGGCTGGCCCCTTCGACGTGGCGGTGGAGAGCGTCGAGGACGACGGGGCGGAGGCGATCTTGGAGGTCCTCCTCGGGGGTGCGCCACCATGTGCGTTCCAGATCAAGAGCGGTAAGATGGCAATTATTTGCGTGAGCGTCTTGGACTACCTGTTGTCGCTAAGCTTTGCGAAAGGGGTGCAGAACGCCTTCCAGGGATTCCGCTGGAATGATTACGACGCGAAGATGGCAGGATTATTGGAGTGCATGGGCGATTCTAGTCTGGATGCTTGCGCAGATTATCGGCGTCAAGCAGCGGGCGAGTGGCAACAAATGGCAATTGAGCAATACGAGGTAATGACGCAGAACGTAACTATTCGTGACAAAATCGCAGCCATGGAATCTAAGTACCGATGTTGCTGCAACACCGCCGAGACCGATGGGAAGCTTACCATGGCGACCGCCTGTGCTTGGCTTCGGAGAACGGACCAGGTCACGTCTTGGGGGTACTGTCCAAATGATTTGAACCACTTTCCGATCAAGGAGGGTGGGTGCATGGACCTGGAGCCAATCGTGGTTCCCCCAGAGCCTAAGACCAGATGCGGTTATTTTCAGAGTTGCTGCTGCTACGATCGAGACTACGCGCCTCGTGACTCGCCTCCAACCGACTTATGTAGTTGCTCCACGTCGTGCAAGGCTGGGCATCATACCTATGACACGGTTGGATTTTGTCCGCAGTGACGTCAATGTTGTGAAAGGCTTGCGTTTCACGTGTCACTTTCGCTTGGTGGGTCCAGCCCTTGCCAACATGTCGTCTATGGAGCAAGCTGTGACCTGCCTCGCCCTCCCGGTGTAGGCTCTGAGAGGTTTGAGACCCTGGTGCGAGCCATGCCGATCACAAATCGTTCGACCCTTTTCGGATGGTGTGGGCCTCTGCGGGTGCGTCTGCTCCTCGTGTGCCCCAGCCTTGGTCCGCAGTCCTCCCGCAACGCGGGCTCTTCGTAACATCTTCACTGTGCCACGCGGCCCGCCCCCTGTTCCTGCGCGGCCCCCCTCGTGCGCTACTCCTCCAAATCCTGAGTATGGTGTTCTTGTGATTTTGTAATTCGGTAGAAAATCATGGGAGCCTTGTACGTGTTCGTAATGCAGTCTTTCGAGTGCACTAGCATGCGCTAGCGTCTGGTAGTCGATGCGACAGCGTGGATTTAGCGTCGATTAGCGTCGATTTGGAGTTGGTTAGCGTCGATTCGCGTCGGTTAGCGTCGATTCGCAAGAGCCAGCAAGATGGATCGGGAGGCCTGTGAGCTGCCATCGAATAGTAACTCATCTGCCTCCTTTCTTCCTTCGTTCCTCCCTCAACTCTCTCACGCTCATGCTCCCTGATGCGCAGATTCACCCACAGGAACGCCCAACTACGGTCCCAAGGATCGAACCTATGTGTGCCCGACGGGTTCGTTCTGGTTTCTGTGGGCGCTTGTTTCCAGTCGGATTCGTGACCCAAGGAGGCGCCCGTGTCCGTCCTGGCTCAAGTCAGGCGGCCACTGGCTGTGGGCGGAGGGCGGGCGGGGAAAGGCGGGGACGCGGCTGGGTGCCGCGCCCGAGGCCTCCCTTGTCGTAGCCGATGACGCCCCGCCCGGTCGCCCCTGGCGCGCACTCTGGCGCGGACCGAGTGGTCCCGGGCGTGGTGTGCTTGCGCTGCCGCGCCGATTGCGTCGAGCTCGAGCTCGAGGGGGGCGGGCTGGAGCGCTGGTCTCCCGCCAGCGCGGAGCCTGGCCTCCTCGCGGGCGCGGGGTGCGCCTTCTGGCGCGGCGGGGCCGACGCGCCGCTGGCGTGGAGCGCGCTGGCTGCCGAGCTCGGGCGGCTGTCCGCAGACGCGGACGCGTACGGTGGCCTGGTGGCCAGGCTGCACGGGTTCTTCTGGTTCGTGCACGTGCGGGGCCTGGGCCCTGCGGGGCCGTTGTGCCTGCTGGCGGCCACGGACGCCGTGGGCCTCATGCCCTTGTGGCTGAGCGCGGACGCCGAGGCGTGCGCGGCCTCGCCGCACAGATGTGCCGCGGCGGCCAGCGGGGTGGGCGCCGCGGCCGCCCAGATGTGTCCACGGGTGGTGCGCAGCTGGACGCCAGGTCATGGCGGGCTGTCGGCGTCGCGGCCCAGGTCCTTCCACGGGCTGCACTCGCCGCTGGGGGCGGCACGCGCCGCGACCTGCGAGGCAGCGCTGAGAGATGTGGGCGTCGAGACCGCGAATGCAGACCCAGCGGGCGCAATGCCACGGGCGCTTGGCGGCAGAGGAGGCGGAGACGGGCTCTTGTCTGAGGTGGTGTCCTTGCTGGAGAGCTCGCTCAGGCGGTGTATTCCAAGGGGCGCTCAGCGGGTCGGCGTGCTCTTCTCTGGCGGCCTGGACTCCAGTCTGCTGGCCTGGCTTTGCACCCAGGGCCGCGCTTGGCCCGAGTGCAAGTTCGTCTGCTACACGGTCGGGTTCCACGACAGCCCACGCCACGCGTACCCCGAGGACTTGTCTGCTGCCAGTGCAGCTGCCGAGATCATGTCGCTGGACTGGCGCATGAAGGTCATGACACTCGGGGAGGGCGAAAAGCTGCTCAGAGAAGCGGCCCCAGTGGTCGCGGACTGGAATGCAGTAAAGGCTGAGGTCTCCATGACCAACCTCGCCGCCTACAAGCTCGCTGCAGCGGATGGCACCACTCTTCTGCTTAGCGGCTTGGGTTCCGAGGAGGCGTTCTCTGGTTATCACAGGCATGGGCCTGCCTGCGCTGCGGGGGATGAGGCGAGCACGCGCGACCGGTCCCTCGGTCTGGCGCAGATGTACCACAGGGACCTGCAGCGGGACTTCGCGCTCGCATCGCTGACCGGGGTGCAGGTCCGCTTCCCGTACCTGGACGACGAGCTGGTGTCGCGCGCCCTGACGCTGCCCGCGGCGATGCCTGCGTCGCAGCGGGCCGATTTAGGTGCTGACGATCTCGATTCCGTTGGCGTGGTCGCGGACGGCGCCAAGAGCGCGCTGCGTGCGGTGGCGCAGTGGGCTGGCGCCCCGACGGTGGTCTACACGCGGCGCAAGCGGGCGTCGCAGTACGGGGCGCGCTCGCACCAGGCTCTGGGCCTGCTGGCGGCACGGCAGGCTTCGAGCGGCGCCGCGGAGCCAGCGGCCAAGAAGTACCAGCGGGCCAACTTCGCTATGGGCCTGCCAGGAGCGTCGCACGGCGCCCTGGCGCTCCTGTTCACGAGTGGGAAGGACAGCGCCAACGCGCTCGTGCTGCACCGCTCGTGGCACAACCCCGTCGCCTGCGTGGTTCCCCCCCGCTGGGAGGGCGACGGCGCGCGGACGGAAGCCGGTCGCACGGAGGCGCTGGCCGCCGCCACTGCCATCGGGGCCCCGCTCCTGGACCTGCCGGCCGCGTACGTGTCGACGAACGGCGGCGCGCCCTACGACGCCAGCTCGCTGATGGCCGCGCTGCGGCGGGCGCGCGACGACCACGGCGTGGAGGGCGTCACGTGCGGCCACGCGCACGACCTGGGCAGGTGGAGCGCCGTGGTGGAGGCGTGCGACTCGCTGGGACTGCGCGCCTACGCCCCGCTGTGGGGGAACACGCAGGCGACGCCGCTGCTGCTCAGGATGGCCGTGGACGGGAGCGCCCTGGTCGTGACGCGCTTCCCCGACGCCGCGGTGATAGGCCAGCGCGTCGCGACGACCGAGGAGGCGAAGGCCCTGCTCTCGAGGCTGCGGGACGTGGCGGGGCCGGACGCGCCCGAGGACTCGGATGCGGGCCTGCTGGACGCGGAGGTCCGAAGAGCAATAACAGAGGTGCACAATAGCAGAAACCTTCGGAAGGCCGCGCGGATTTCTTAGATCAGGTGCTGGACCCCCCAGTGGCAAGGAAATCCGCGCGGACTTCCGTAATTGTATGATTGTGGCGTCCAGCCGCCGACGATGTGTGTTCACAGTGTGTGTTCACAGTGTGCAGCCTGTGCTGGCCCTCATCACGCCGCCTGCATCGTATGGAAGGGCTTCGGCGGACACGCAGACGTTGGCGGCAACTTTTGAAGCAGCGGCGACAGCGGACGCTGGCGCGTGGCAAAGAAGAGGGCGGCCGCGGAGGAGGCGGCGGGAAGGGCCCGACCGCCGAGAACAAGATGCTGAATAGCAGGGGGAGCACGTTGGCGCTGACGCCGATCCCTGGGGTCGGACCTCTGGGGCCGGCGGCGCGCACGAGGGGCGTGGCCCGGCCGAGAGATCCGTGTGTGGCGCCTCTGGTATCACGGTGGGCGTTCGCGCCGGGCTTGGGGCCCCGGCGGCCGGGAACCCCCCCCACCCCCCGCCGCTCCCGGGAGAAGACAGAACCGCGTAAACACATCAACCTTTGGCGCTCCGCGCAGAGTTCCTCGATCGGCGGCCTCGGGACCAGCGACGTTGCTCTCCCAGAGGTGGTCCACTGCGCGCTGCTCGGCGGCGGGGTGGGCGCCAGCGGGCCTGCCGGCGGCGGCCCGAGCGAGGCGGGGCGGCCCGGCGCGGAGCCGCTCCCAGAGTCGCCCGCGCGCGCTCTCCCGGGGCTGCACCTCGGGCCGCTGCCAGGAGCACTGCGGCCTGCCTGCTCGCCCTCCCTGGTTGCCTCTCCGTCCCTGCCTCCCTCCCTCCCTTCGGCCTTCTTCTCCTTGCTCCTCCTCCTCCTCCTCCTTGCTACACAACTCTTCCCTGTCGCACCCTCAGACGGGTCGGTAGTGCGGGCCGGGCGGTTCGCTTGTGACTTCTCATCCTTTATGATCCGGAAACTTGAAATTTGCAGCAGTTGCAAGGATGGAGATTGGGTGGTTTTTAATATGTGGCTCTCGCCTTAACACCGCGCGCATTCGTTTTTAGGAGTTTGTAACAGCTTCAAGGATGGAGGGTGGGCCGTTTTCAAAATGTGCAGCTCTCGCCTCAGCGCCGCGAATCTGAATTCCAAAAGTTCGCTTCAGCTTCAAGGAACGATGGCGTTTTTTTGTGTTTTGTTTTGTTTTGTTATGTTTGTGTTGTAGCTAAAACGTGGCACGCTCACCTTACCGCCACACGCAATCGAACAGTTTGCAGGAGTTTCAAGGGTGGAGGGTGGTTCCTTTTCTACATGCTAGCCAGCGTGGACCCCAACCAGTGTGTTCTAGCATCTTAGGAGGTGCCATCTATGTGGTGCAAGCTATGATGTGCAATCTATGCGGTGCAATCATTGCGGTGCAAAAAGTGTGATGCAATATAGGCAGTGCAAACTATGCGGTGCAATCTGTGTAGCACAACTCAACGCCAAGCATGTAAAAGCAATGCAAAATAATGTTTCGCAGGGCTTCGCAATAAAGCACTGCAAAGCGGCCTGCGATGAGGCGGCGGGCGGCGACGAAGCGGCGACGGCGGCCACATGGCGGCCAGAGCGGCCCGCACGCTCAGGCGACGGGCGGCGACGGGCAGCGACGGCGGCCACATGGCGGCCACATGTCGGCCAGAGCGGCCCGCCGACCAAGGCGACGGGCCGCAAGGGGCGGCGGCGAGGCGGCGACGGCGGCCACATGGCGGCCAGAGCGGCCCGCAGGCCCAGTTTTTTTTCAGAGGACAAGTGAGAACCCCTAAGTGCAAGCATTGTTTGGGGTCTGTGGCTCTCGCCATAGCGTCGGTCGCGCGCATTCCATTCAAGAGCTTGTAGCAGTGTCTAGGATGCGTGTCCTTGAGGTCCCAAGAATGGTGTTCTGGCATGTGCCCCGATTTACGATTGTAAGAACGTGGCAGTCGGCTTGATTCGCGGTATTGAGATCCCCCGCACGGTGTTCTGGCATGATCGAGGTTTGTCAGGCCGCAACAGTCACGTTGATTCGCGGCGTTGAATGCCGAAACATCGTGCTTTGGCACGATTCTCAAACTGTTGTTGTAGGGACTTGTGAGGAGGGAACATGGAGGGATGGCTTATTGCAACATCATTAATGCTTCTTGGGTTACACCGGTCCTCCTTCTCCTCCTCCTCCTCCTCCTCCTCCTCCTCCTCCTCCTCCTCCTCCCCCTCCTTCTCCTTCTCCTCCTCCTCCTCCCCCTCCTCCTTCCGCTCGCGACACCGCGAGGACAGCGACGTACCGACACCAGTCCACCTCCACCTCCTCCTCCTCCTCACTCCTCCTGTTCCTCCTCCTCCTCCTCCTCCTCCTCCTCCTCCTCCTCCTCCCTCCTCCTCCTCCTCCTCCTCCTCCTCCTCCTCCTCCTCTCCTCCCTCC